GCTTTTTGCGATCACCGACTTCGTCATAGGGGCGACTAGAACGACTCAGTCTCAGTGTTGTACGGAACGGCGTTCCAAGGAACGGCGTTCCTAGAGCGCGTTCCTTTTAGGAGGAACGAAGGAACGCCGCCGTTCCATTTTGCATCCCTGGAACTGGAACGGGAACGCGTTACATTTTTATTGGAACGAAAAGAGTAACGGCGTTCCTTCTATGGTTCAGTTGTGTAATTTTTATTTTATATTTACGAGGGAAAGTTTTGAAGTATAAAAAACTAAATCTTTACGACAATATTGTTTTAGCTCGTTAACTCTTTGGTTACTTATCTTCGGATTTATATTGCGTGGTCCTCGCTTGGTAACAGTCGTTTGCAGGAGAGCTAGTGGACATGAATGATTCTTTTTTGAGTGCCCGAGACTGCGGTACAGAAAGCAAAACTTTTAGTCGCACGAAAATATACAAAGAGGGACGTTTCAAACTCAGCTACTTTCTTTGCTTCCACGAATCCTCATACACCGAGAAATCTAAGGCCGACTACAGCCATTCCTGAACTTTCATAAAGAGACCTACAGTTACAACAAAATCACAGGTTACCAGACATCGAACGCACCCTTGTATCCAGAATATTGGTCACTTAAACGATACACAAAAATTAACCTTTATTCCTTCTCCCCTTGTCCCCCGCCTTCAAACTGAACAACGAATCAAACCTTCACAAAGAACTACTTGTAGTTTTCGAAACAGCTTCCAAAAGCATACTTTCCCCTTCACTTGTTCATCTTGCGGACAGCAACATCGAGGAGCAACTGTTGTAAAGTTCGAACAAGGGTCTTTGTTAGATTGAAACGTGTGAGGTTCTTGTAAAACGCTCGTGAAATGTGGGGTAACAGTAGATTTGGCTCGTCTGAATCGTTCACCACAAACATGAATATGGTTAAAAGCTGAGATTTTTCAACTTGAATTTATCAACAAATAAAATTTTGATTCAGCTTGTTTTCTTCTCCTGGTGCCCTTCCATCCCGACATATAAATTCGCATATTCCCATTTGATGGGATAGGTTAAAAAAAAGAAAACTTTGCTTGATCTAACCAAATATGATAATCAGCAAAATACAAATGTAACGTATATGTAACGATACGTTCCATTTTTTTAACTGTAACGGGGACGAGTTCCTTTTTCACAGATGGAACTTGTAACGGGAACGCGTTCCAAAATTCAGAAGGAACGAGGAACGAGCTTTCGTTCTTTTTTTTGAGGAACGTGTACAACACTGCTCAGTCTGGACAGCACTATAGAGAAATCGAATCGCAGCACTTCACTGTATGCAAACTCGAAAAAATCACGGCGACATTGCAGCCTGATTTTTTCGAAACGTTGGACCGGGTTATACACCAACTGATGTTTACAAGCAAACCGGAGCGCCCCTAGCGGACGCCACCGGCGCCGCGCATGCGCGATGGGGGGGTGGGCAAGAAGCTCGCCGTCGCCCATCAACAAACCATTGGAATGCGATGAAGTCGGCGTCGGTGTACGTCCACCTGCCCTTTTTCGCGTTCGAATTGTTGATTCTACGTCTTCCTGGCGATGTCTGACTACTTGAGCGGCGTCAGCAAAATAACGAGGCTCGTTACACCGCAAAACTTCGCGTGAATAATGTAACATGTGGCGATTCATTCCGCGTGGACGCAGTATGTACGCTAAAGCCTGATTCGCATGATGCGATTTCGCTCGCAATTTTCAGTCGCGACGCCACTCGGGCTGCAAAAGCGTGAACCGTAGCTGAGATAGTCGACGTCGATACTGAAAATCGCAAGCAGAATCGGACCGAGTGAATTAGGGATAACAAGTCGGTGACGGCCACTGGTAACAATGATCAACATCTTTTTGTATCTACTGTTTACATCGAGCCTGCTTGCCAACCTTCAAATATAAGTCTTTCGAGGCCTGCACTTACTTCTTATTGCAAGTAGGGGGCGAACATTTGGTCTACGGGCCGGCGTCGTCTAAGAATGCAGACGACAAGCAGAAACGTTTGAAAGAGCAGACGACAGTTCGAACGATCAGGCGGCCGTTTGCACTTGAAGGCGCACTGAACGTAGTCCGCAGGTGGTCCGCACAACTTGACGGTTTTCTGGCGTTCATGTTGGAACAAAACAAATAAATCTGATAACCACAACTTTCCGTGAATTCAACCCAAAGTGCCTCCCACACAAGCAATCGTTTTCCGACGGCGTCTGCTTTTCCCTTGTCACGGCACATATCGAGATTCTCGGACGAACCGAGCACGTGAAAACTGACCTTCAAACCTTTCTCGACACTTTTGGTACGGCCCTGTTGCGGCGTTTTCACGAGAAGGCAGGTTATTTTCAGGTTCCTTTCAAAACAATATAGGAATACACGTCTGGCACGGGGACTTCTGTCCACAGCCCCAGACCGGAAGTGCGACCGACGCGCCACCACCATGCCGTGACGTCATAGAGTTGAGTTGAGCTGTTCTTTCTGGGCCAATTCGCTGAACAGAAAATTCAGTGAAATAGCTTGGGAACGAACGGATAAAATACGTGCATTCGGAATTCACGCTTGTCAATTGTTCGTCGCCACTACCTTCCTCTCCTTTTCTCTCCCGCCCTCTTGTTGCCGAGTTTACTGTCGCATCGCATGGCGAGCTTGCCTTTCCCCCTCTCTTTCGCGTCGCGCCGGTGCCGGCTCTGTTTTTTTTTTTTTCTCTCCTTTTTTTTTTTTTTTTTTTTTTTTGCCGGCACGTAAGTGCGCGTTGGACTTCAAAGCTCTTTGGACCGTCATCTGGGCCATTCAGCCGCTGGCATCATGAGTGCCAATCTGCACAAATCGTTGACAGTATCTACTTGATTTCGGCATTGCCGGGTATTTTCTTTTTTGGAATCAAGTTCAAAAATACGCAAGTGGCCAGTGAAATTTGCCCCGATATAGTGTGTGCCGGAATGCGATTTTGTTTGTATACGTCACCAGTAGCAACGAACGCAAGATCTGTACTAACAGTCACGTGACAGGACTCTGTGCACCGATCTACCGAAAGTGCTAAGGTGCTGAAATTTGGTGTTGTGGATGAACTGCGATGTTGATGCGAATTTTGTGGTTGTGCGCGAGTCAACATAGATAAGAAAACACAGAAAGAAATTGAGGAACCTTAAAACAATGTCGGAGGTCGTTGAGCAGTATGGATGCTCCTGGGAAATGATGTATGCCTGAAATCACCTGGTGATGGGATAGTAAATGCAAAAACCAAGAATGGTGCAATTCGATCCGTTCCAGACGCCATGGGCGTCACTTGCAAATTAAAACAATAACAATATTTTAAACAAAATGAAAGTATAACAAGCACATGTAAAAGGGAATATATTCCTAACATACCTTTATATTATTTTCTTCCTTCAGTGTACTACATTGAGTTTTGTATATGCCCTCCCTAGCGTAATCGCATGTGCAATTAATAGTGTCTTAAAAAAAAAAAAAATATATATATATATATATATATATATATATATAAATTTCTCAAGCTCTCAAAAATTAAGTCTTGCTTGCGGCTCTTGAGCAGTATCACTTTGGCCACAGCTGTAATTAAACAGTGAGCGCGTAATATACGTGATACTGCGGCCGAAGATGGAGCTGGAAAAGCTAAAAAAAAAAACACAAAGCAAAGGTCGTAGCATGACATCGCCAGGGCGTGAAGGACAGGACAAAAATTGAACGCAATTTCATTATGGCCTCAACGTCGAACGAAACGAAAGTGGTCGACGTTGCCAGTACGTCCTGTATGACGTTTATGACATTTAGGTGCGAACGCGACGTCGCAATTTTACTTGGAGTGTACACCATTTTAATATATCTTTTAAAATGTACTTTTTGTGGAGCCAGGATATTTAATTATTATACTCTATACCTTTAACGCATCTCAAGGTACTCAGTACACATGAAGTACATTCTAAATTCATTTGGGCACATTTAAAACGTATCAGTATTTGCTAAAGGGTAAACGCAGTATTTTTGGCATTCCCGAAACTGAGCTGATGGTGATATTGAAGATATAACATGAAAGACTGACATCTCTTCTCCAATATTCTCAGATATATTTTAAGCTCGATTAATACAACAAAATGGATATACAGGCTAAACGATTTTCAAAACACGGTACAGCCATACCATGTACTACATCTATAATGAATCGGAACAAACGTAGCGTTCAAAATATGTTATTTAATCATTAAGAATATGCCACTGATGGCATTTTTTTTTACTACATCTTTACGTGAAGTTTCAGAAAGTTTTGAAAGAACACTTCTTTTGGCTGCTAATAGATTGCTACGGTGTGTCAAATAAAGACTTCAAATGTGCTCACAAAGTGCCGAAGTCATTTTATTTCTCTGCAGAAATATTTCAAATTGTATTTTCTTTTAAGTGTTAATTTACGTTTCACTTAAATGTGAATTAATAAAGGTTTGTACTCTCTATCATTAGTCTAGGATGCTAGTGGCACCTTATTAGATGATTTTTTCTTATTTATTTTGCTATTAAATAGGTTGACCTTTTATTATGCTTATAGACTTTGGGTTATAGTTTAGTTTTGGGCTTGACATTTTAAGTACACCCGTCGAACCGAGGATGCGACAGATAATTCCGAGATAAGCGTAACTATGCACCTTTGTAAAGCTTCTTGTTTAGTCACAACAATTTGTTGAGAAAAAAATATTGGTTTTAGTTTGCCTGAGTCTACCTATTGCAATGGTACAGCTGGATCTTAATTAATATGTTAATATTTCGAGAAGCTTTTTAGTTTTGTTTATGCAGTATGGAGGTATCCGGTGGTGTTACGCAGAGCCTTTCAAAGTGAATCGAGTTCTTTTATAGTTATGGCGTTTTTAAATATATTTGTATTTTATTTACAAGACGGTTACGCGGAATGGTTCATAAGACCATCTAGTGGACGTTGCATAAGAACGGACAGTGACCGTCTGAAGTTTACAGGTTTTACATGCAGGGTATATGGAGACGCCAAAGATGAATCTTCAGGGAACAAGTCATGTGGACGGCGCCATCTCAGTAATACTGTTTCAGCAAGAATAATTAATGGTACCGATGCAGAACCGGGCAACTGGCCGTGGATGGTGGGGCTGTATACTCCCGATGACACATTTCATTGCGGTGGCGTTTTAATTGACGCACAATATGTCTTGACCGCTGCTCATTGTCTTCGGTATGTACATAATCAATTTGTTTCTTCATGTTCCTTTATGCTTATCAGATGGTTTCAGTCTTGTCTAACAAATCTTAGAAGCAATGCGCGAATTTTAAACAGCTTCACAGAACCCTTTGTTCCCTTCTTTTGGGTCCCCCAACTATCTAATTTGGGACCACTATTCTTAATAAGTTTTAATAATGATATTAAAGTGCGCATGAAAAAATTCTAAGTTTTGAAGTTGTGTTCACACGTGGGTCATCCCTGACTGTGCATGTTGACAAGACGATCTGTCACGTAGGCATGAGTGGTGTTTATTTCATAATTTAAACGTTAAATCCTAAATAAAACCGAGATGGTATAAATGTATTGAATACGTCAACTGGTTTCTAATGACTGCGTTCTCTGTACCACTCCTGTTTTACGCGTCACCACAGTTCGTGACCTTGATGTTTCCTTTGTTAGCCATCTTTATTTTTCTTTTTATGTATCCTCAAATTGTTAGCTCTGATTTTTAAATTTTTGGGCATGATTTATCGTTTTATGAAGGAGTTTACAAATGTATTGTGTAGTATTCGTTTTTTTTTTGTAGCATCATTCGTTCCAGGATTGAGTTCGTTAGTTTTGTTTGGAAGTATCTTACATTATGAAAATCAGAAATTCAACATTTTCAAAAGGGGCTCATTCCTATGATTTATGATCGGTACTTCTATAGGAAGTGTTTTTATGATTATGCCTACATTCTTAGAAATTTCAACTTCCATACTTTTTCAAGCAAAATTGTCGTGCGCGAGACGTATGACATATTAATAGAGCGATTCACGGTAAACTTGATTGTGCCATGTTATTTTTCTTGAATTTCCACGCACCTGTCCCTGTTAGTAGACATTCCTGTTCATTGTATCATTGTCATAAGAAGAAGCTATTTCCCATTACCCGCATGCAACTTACCTTTAATGACATCTCCACCAATTCTGGATATTGATATTTTTGTGAATTACGAACATTTTAAGCGTGAAATTGTTTTACTCTTTTACATATATCTACCGTAACCTTTTCCATGAGATTGTATGCGTGGATGTATGCATGTTGTTATAAATTTATGACTGTTTAAGAGCATGCTATATTTTATACTTAAGTGTCTCGTGCAAATGTCGAGTAATTTAACGAGGGATTCACAAATTCCTTTTGAATGAAGGTTTTGAGTTTAAAACGTCTTTACAAATTTAGTAAAGATACGCAGAAGAAAAATTTACAAAACTTTTGGGTTTTATGTTTGTTTTAATGTATTGTTTATAACCCCCCCCCCTCAGAAAAAATTATTGTTGCTTAGAAATTCTGAGTAATTTAACGAATTATTCGCCTATTATTTGCGAACTAATGTTTTCATATTATAAACATATGCGCAGATGTGCTAAAAATACACTGGAGAAAAAGAGAATTCAATTCTGTGCATAATGTTTTACTATCGTATTATGAAATACGACACACGACCTAAAACACGCGCAAAGATTGTAAATAATGCACCTGTTAACCGTCATTGGACTTGAGGTTGGTCATCGGGTTCCAGTATCTGGAGAAGACGCCAGAGACAGGGGAGTGCAATTAAAGTGGTGATCCCAAGACCTAAAACTGATTACGAGAGGCACCCATGTGCCAGACTCGAGTAGACGACACAGCGTCCACAGCGTCACTACATTTCTAAACCCTCGTTTTCGGTGACCTTATCCCGAGATTCCTGCTACCATCAGCCGTAGCGAAATTTTCTAAGAAGGCGATAATGAATAACTTACGGCAACTTCGAGTTTTGTTTTTTGCGCACTATAACTGGTAATGCGGTATCTATTGTCTAGAATAAAGATAGAAAACGTAGCTTGTAGTTGTGAAGCTTCTACTGTTTAAAAACACCAATTTAAAAGAGGAAATCTATGAGAAACCTAAAGTGTGTACGCCTTCGTTGGCCAGAGAGGATGTGCAGTTAGAGGTAAATAAAGTAGTACGTTTGGAGAAAATGTATATTTTATTTCTAATTATGTTTGAACGCGATAATCTTCAATCGAAAAAGTCATTTGAGGTGGAAATACCGAACGAAAGTCCCGAAATAGGTATATATTTAGATGGAGCACAGCACGTTTGTCTACTGTCCTGTATACAATGAAATGCAAACGCCCAGGATTAACTTACACTCACCACCCACTAGAGCAGCTTTTTTAGGGTAGCGGCTGCGGCGTAATTGATAGTATTGAAAACGATTTAAAATGTTTTGCTTGTAATTTGGCGTGAATCGTACGAGTGAATCTTACCAGTTTTAAAGCGCAGTACTTGGCGTCATTGGCTCTATATCACCCTGGCCTTCAGAGAATGGTTCCAAATGATTCCCCGGTTCACTAAGTTTAAACAACAGGTGTATATCATTTATTACACGTGGTTATAATGAACAGCTAGTACAATAACGCTTCAAACTTACATTGGATGGTTCGGAAATTTTTTTTGAGGTATCGCTCTGAAATTTATTACAGAGGGGTGGCTAGGTGCTAAACTTTTAGATTTAAAAGTATGAACGAATAAACTGACCTCGCTCACAAAATATAAAGAGATCCAGTTTTGGGAAATCTACGCGCCGTTTCGTGGGTGAGGCAGACGGTGCTCGTTGACTTGGAGGTGCCGCAGACAAATGGTTAGCACCTAGCATCGTTTTATTAGTCTGGCCAATGAGATCGAGGCACAAACCGATGACAACGCCGAAGACGAAATCTTGAAGCAAGAAGCTTGAAAATGATGAGCCGTGCTTTGTGATTCTTAAGACCCTCCCAAGTACCGTGGTCCCTTGGGACGAAATTTGGTTTCTCTTTGGGAATTTAGGCCCTTAAAAAGTCAGAAGAAAGCAAGATACAGCAAAACGTGACCTTCTTTGGCAAAGCTTGGGTATATTGGTCCTACACACGATTTGAAACCGCAGACGAACGGACGACAAGGGGACAAACACACGTGCCACAACTACTTCGAGTGATGCCGCACGATGTCCCAACATGCTGACCACAATGAAACCGAACAGAAGCACCGACAACGGTGGGAGAGATGAGACAGGAACTGACGAACACGAACCAAGGCATGCATCGTCATCGTCCGGCATCATCCGAAACGGTTGAAACGGTGTTGGCGCCTTTGTCCGTTTGTCTCCGGTTTAGAATCATTTGTAACCTTAACCGGCTCGCTTGTTTTCTATCATTCCCGAAGCAGCCCTGATTTGTTTTCGTCAGTTCCTTTGTCAGCTCTGCCGCCGAAGTGGTTGACACGTGTGGATTTGTCGTTTGTCGTCCGTTGGTCTACGCTTTAGAACGAGTGCAACGTTAATCAGCTTGCCTGTTTAATAGCGTTGTCTGCTATCTTGGACCTAAATTAAAAATAAGTGCTAGCATTTTGCTTTTATTGCTGGTAGTTTAGCTGTCATGTGGCATTTTTGAGCATAACTTTTTGAGCAAGTGCCATAATTAGGTTTCACTTCTTGAGTCTGGAACCTTGGCTTTTATGAGGCGATCCAGAGAAAACCCCTGGAACAAAACTCCTGGAAAGAAAAGTATTCTGACTTTAATTACTTCCTTGCAACTAAACCTTATTAGGCCTAAGTTAGGCCCCTAAGGTTGCTAAGCTTGTGCCAAGTTAGGGATTTCTCTGGTGAGCTCTCTAGTCTGTCACATTGAAGAAAAAAACACGGTGCCGACATCAACAAAGCATGTTCAACAGTTAGTTAATTTGTTGCTCGTTCGCTTTGTTTACCGATAATCATGTGGCATTGCGAGACCCTTAGCGCAACAGAAACGACCGGGACAATGTTGCCTCTATGTGCCAAGCTTCAGTGACCGCAGCAGCAACAACTTCTGTCGAGCAATGCCTAATGAACGGATCAGTTAATGACCACGAACAATTGGAGGTTCAAGCCTACTAACAGTTGGGTGTTCTCGATCTTAAAGGTTCTATGCCGTCTTTAATAATATCTAGGAGTGTCATATTCTATATACGGTTGTACTTTTTGAATAGGGTGTCAAAATGTAGGAGTAGTAACCAAATGCGTGGTATTGCTTAGATTGTTATTGAAAGCAACATAATCTGGAGACTTTTATATTAGCATGGCTACCATTAAGATAAGCAAGACTGAATTTCAAACTTACAGATTGCCGTTTTAGACCACCTAATATAGTCAGCACGAACATGACATCGACACTTTTAGACCGCAGCTATTTGGTGCCCGCGTCCGGCTTGAGCGGCGTCGGCGTCGGCATAACCGCACGCTGCATTATGAAACGTTTCCCATAATGACGTCACACGTGACGTCACATATGACGTCACGAGGATCAAGAGTAACGTCACTCGTGACGTCACCGTGCTAAATACAACGAAAAAAAATCCCCGCTTAATTCACGGAGGTAAGTTTCCCACTACACTTAGCAGAAAAATTTCCCGCTAAATTTAGCAGAAAAATTTCTCACTAAATTTAGCGGGAAAAAATTTCCCGCTAAATTTAGCGAAAAAAGAAAATCCCCGTTAAAATCACTGGAAAAAGTTTCCCGATAAATTTATCGAAACAAATTCCCCGCTAAATTTCAGGGGGAATTTCTTATGCTAAATTAGGGTGAAATTTAGCGAAAACTTTCTGCTAAATGGGAGGGGAGTAGGAGAGGAGGAGGGGAGGGTACGGATGAGGAGGAGTGGCCTACCCTCCTCTCCATACCTTTCTCTCCTCCTCCTCAAAAGGTGCGCTCCAATCCTGCGTTAGAGGGGACTGTAAAGGTCTTCCATTATTTTATCAGTTTGCTTAGACAGAGCCCAGAGACCTCGACTCTTACAGTCCAAGTTGTTGTACCAGACTGCGAAATTACGGGACACCAGTGTTCTTTTGATGTTGTAAGAACGTTGGATTTGTAAAAGTTAAGCAGTGAAAAGGGCGAGGACTTGCTCGTGTTTAGCTTTATTCGCTTAAGAATGTTCCCATTGTAACTTTTATAACCCAGCAAGTCGTCCGCTTCGCCGTTAAAAATCATTCCTTTATGATATTACTAAAATGTTCAATTAGTGACTTCTCTAAGCAAAGTCCACTACAACTTAATACTGCCCCGTCTCCCTCTTTTTTTTTCTGTCTAACGTTTTAAGATACAGGAATGCTAGCTTCCTAACGGCTCGGCTGGGAAGCACAAATAAAACCAAGTTGGCGGATTGTCCCAACGAAACAAATCAACAAGACTTCGCAGAACGGAGTAACGACATAGAGAGCAAAGCGGTAGGGGGTGCCCAGGTCATTTGCGTTGAAATTGCGCAGGTCTGCATCCCTCGCCAGGAAAACTGTAGCTTTTTTATGGTATGTCCTCACTATAATCTATGACTATTTTTCTTTACCAAAGCCACGCAGCATTGAATCTTGAACAAAGCTAATTGTATTTGCAGGAAGACATCGCAATGTTGAAATTGAAAACACCTGTAACCTTCACGGAACATATTCAACCAATCTGCCTTCCAGATAACTGCGTCGAACCATCTTTAAATGTTGCCACCTACATTGCCGGCTGGGGCCAAGTTGAAAGTAAATGGTCTTATTGCACCGCGTTAGTATAGGCAAATAACGCGGAACAAACAGCATAACCAACCGATGCCCGATACGTTTTTTTTTTTGTGCATATTTTAGAGAAATGCGTCAAAACTACCAGAGAAGCAAAAATTTTCAGCTTTAGCACAAAGGTACATAGCAAAATTCAGTGCTCGACATTTGACTGATTAAGAATCTTGCAAACAAATATCTGATGTGCACGTTTGAATTGCCTCGCACAGTATACATTTTATGATTACCAGGTATAAGGGATCGTGTTGAAGACTCAAGTTACTGACAGGCTCTGTAGGCTTAAAATTAGCGTATACAACGGTGCTCGTCTTAAAAAAAAAAAGTGACAATCCCATGTTGAGTCGAAATCTACCTACATCATTGACTTAAATGGGCCCGCTTCGGGTGTAAGCCGCTGTCAAGCGAGCACGCAGTATCCATGGGCCCAGTCCCCGAGCGCAACTTCGGGAACGCCAACAAAAGTTTAATAACAGTGAAATTAAATGCAAAGGTTCAAGCGAGCTAGACAAGAATGACGAAAATTATCTCTGGAGAAGGGGGACAAAGCGCAAACACAAATCTCCAGACACAGCTGGGTGACTGGTGCACGACTGAAAAAATCCGCCTGGTCCTGTTATCGAACCCGGGAACTCTCCATTACAAATGGAGCGCTCTACCAGCTGAGCTAACATGGAGTTAGACGTCACTAGAGCAAACGGGTTCTACTAGCTGCCACTAGTCTAACACCAACAAGTGTGAACAGCTTGCATTTTTAAGGTTATAATGAAATGCAATTAAATAGAAAGGTGCAAGCAAGCTGGAGAAGAATAACGAACATAATCCCTGGAGTATGGGACAAGGGGGACAAAGACAAGCACAAATCTCCAAACACAGCTGGTGGCAACTGATTAAGCCCGTCTGCTCTACTGTCGTTTAACTCCTGGTTAGCGCAGTTGGTAGAGCGCTCTCCTGAAAATGGAGAGGTCCGTGGTTCGATACCAGGACCAGGCGGATTTTTGCGGTCGCGCAACAGTCACCTAGTTGTGTTTGGAGACTTGTGTTGGTCCGTTGTCCCCTTGTTCCCCTTCTAGAGAAATTATTTTTGACATTCTTGTCCAGCTCGCTTGCAACTTTGCATTTTATTGCATTATCATTATAACCTTACAAATGCAAACCGTTCACCTTTGTTGGTGTTAAACTGGTGGCAGCTGATAAAACCAGTTTGCTCTACTGACGTCTAACTCCTAATTAGCTCAGTTGGTAGAGCGCTCCACTTGAAACGGAGAGGTGCCTGGTTCAATACCAGGACCAGGTGGATATTTTCGGTCGCGGACCAGTCACTTAGCTGTGTTTGGAGACTTGTGTTTGTCCTTTGGCCTCCATGTTCCCCTTTTCCAGCGGGTAATTATCCACACAGCCCTGTGACCTCAGGGCAGATAACATGAGCCTCGGTTGACTATTAGTTACAGCGGCTGATGACCAGAAAAGGCAATTTTCGGCAGGCGATGCCACCGAAGAGCTGAACACGAGTGACACGTCAGAATTCAGCAGGGTACTTGGATGTCAAGGCTCGGAAATGAGATCAATGTTTGTAATCGCTGACTATCAAAGTGTTGCTCGAAATCCGCTTAAGAGGGAGCTGCCTGTCCCATTAAAATTTATCACCCGGCCAGTTTGATTAATATCCTGTAGCACCAATGGGCAGCCCGTCGAGGACGTACTCTTCCTCTTTTGGAAAGCGCTGGGCAGGCAGTATCGCGATAAAAGCTAAAAGATAATGCCGAGTATCTTTATCCCTTTCTCAAGATACTTAAAAAATGAATTTGTGTTACCGTAGTGAAATACATATGCAATGTATAGCTTGGATTGCAATACTCCGCCATGCTTATGTATCTTTTTGCATGTGTAGGCAAAAATTAAATTCAGTATTTTTATCATAACCTGACAACCATCTTTTTGGGTCAGGGAAACTATAATTGTAACAAATTATCGCGCTAATTGTCGCGTTAATTGTGTGTACTATAATTTGTAATGTGAACCCCCGCATGACCCCTCCTACAAAGGGAGGCCCGATTGCCTGGTATATCACAAACAATCATTAGAATGAAAATAAACACATAAAAAACAAAGGTGATTGGAAGAACGTTCATCTTTAAAAACATCAGGATAAGCTCCTTCCACAAAACTTTCTTTGTTTGCTGCTTTGGCAGCACGGACGCTGGGAAGTAGGTGAGTGGAGAGTAAAACATCATCAGTCACGAACCTTGAGAACTTTAGGATGGTCTTTCTGCACTAAACCTATTCAGGTCTGGTGCAGACTGAATTGGTTGTCTAATGTCCCCGTCGTAAATAACTCAGAGGCACTTAAATCTAGAGTGTTAAACGCACTCTATGGAGGGAAAAAGTAGCAATGGCGCGTTTTCCTCCCTTCTACTGACGCACCCCCAAGCGGATTCAAGAAATATGTGATGAAGAAGGACTAAGTCCTCCCCTCTCAGGCTGTTGGGAGGATGTACCCTCCTCACGCATTTCTTTTCTATTTTTTTGAGAGAGGGAGGCATTTTGCATGCGCAATTTGTCAAGCATTATTTGTGTACCTACGTATCCCAACATTGGTAACGGATTATACCACCGAGCGCCAATTTGTAAATCAAACACAGACCTTCCATTACACCCTCCTCCTCCAAATCTATCAAGGACGACGAGCACTTCAGCCGCGTCGCCCATATTGCTTGATGCACCATTCCTACCTTTAATTTGGGAATATAATTGGGAACGACGCCGTCGTATAGTGTGAGGTTTTAAAATCGGGCTACGTACACTGGGCATGGCAGTGCCGGCGGTGTTGGGCCAGCTGGGCGTCGGCTTGTAGCACGGGAAAGGTTCAGGCAGCCCTAGTCCCGATGATACGACTACTTCCAATACTCAAGAGCTGAGCTGCCTGCCCGTGACAAGCGACACTGAGAAATTTGTGTAGTAGCGACTCTCGTGCCCATTATTTGTCTGTGCGCCTAATGTACAACGTTCTTACCGAGTGCGTCAACCGATGATCGCTCCGCGCACAGCCCACAACTCTCAGGCACTGTTGTCTGTTGTGAAAGTGGCTATACGAACGGCCGTCGATGTCTCCATCTGTCCAAGTGTCAACAGACGATCATCTGATGACCATCCTGGTTCGTATATTTTTGCATCACTAATATCGCTAAAATAGCGGTGTCTATCCTGGAAGTAAATGTGAACAAAGACGCGACCGGTAGCTCAGGTCTCCCCTTGCTTCACAGCAAGATGACATATGCTCCCTGGTCGCTATTCTATTTCATATTTCAATGTTTTAAGGAACCGTTCTTGCGACTGCGGTGCAATCGATCGACCCGAGGATAGTACATGTTGTGACGCTGATTTAGACTGTAACTCCGATATTGCTAACGCCAATGTCGCTACCGTCTGCGTGCAATGCCCCACTAGCCGCACTTCGGCCGCTCTCAGAAAGAAAGCTGAAGATCACTGAAATATTGCGGAAAGATGTGCATTTGTCTTTGAACAGTGGCCTGTGTTAGTGATCGGGGTCGAGTCACCTACGGCATGGTGCGCCGGCCTCGTCGGGGTTCCCGAGTCAGCGGAAGGCTATGGACTGCGCGTCGATTTAACCAAGCTGGACCTGATTGTCCCTGAAGAGCAGCATATAATGGCGACCGTCGACCTGTGTTCGGGCTGCAGGGAAGCTGTACCGTCTTCTCAAACAAGGCGCACTGCCTGGGTCTTACCAGGTACGCCTTTCCGAAAGCTGCCAGGAGTACATGACGTTTCATTACACCTTCTGGGGGATTCTATAATCTCTGCCTGCCCTTTGGAGTTACGTCGGCCCTAAAGGTGTCCCAGCGTCCAAAGTCACTGATTCTAGAGAAAATTAAAGGATGCTTCAACATATTAGACGTCATCCTGGTGTTTGGCAGAGACCGGTGTAAGCTCGACAGCAGGCTTTAAGTTGCCCTCAAGAGACTGCAGCAAGCGGGAGTTACGCTGAATGCCTCCAAGCGCCTTCTCAGGAAGTCGACCCTCAAGTTCCTCGGTGTGGTGTTGAGCACCAACGGCATAGAACCAGACCCCGACAAGGCCTCCCGCCATCACGGGTATGGTCATTCCGACAGATGTGCAAAGTGTGCGGCGTCTCCTTGGAATGCTGAAACACATCGGACATTTTTTAGCGAGCCTGCCCGCCTGCCACTGCGTCAATCAGGATCGTCCCGAACAAGGACACGGTCTGGACCTAGGGGACTGGTGAAGATCCAGTCCTCGACTTACTGAAGAATTGATGGTGACTTCCAGCTCCTGCGTGGCTCGATAAAACGAGAGTATCCTACAACCGTTTCTGCGGGCACTAGAGCGTTCGACCTGGTCGCTGTCCTCCTGCAGGAGCAACATCTGGTGAGCGACGAGCGGTTGCCTTTGCGCCGCGGTCACTGGCCACTGCCTAACAGTGGTACAGCCAAATCGAGACGGAAGCGCTGGGAGTCCCGTGGGCCGTCCAGAGGTTCAAAAAGATTCTGCGCGATCTGAGCCGCTCCTTATACAACCTGTTTTAGATTTCACGTTCTTTGTGTTGCATTCACCATTCACGAAGCGGCTTTCGTTAAGCAGTTCGTCGTCTTCTGCATCCCACAACGTGGTTGCCATAATTGCGTATCGCTGTTTCATGTACGCCGCTATTTTTTAACCTAGTAAGCGCGCAACGAGCCCTGTTGTCGAGTGTGCGACCGCTAAATCCATCAGATAATATTGACATCCCCTTGGCTCCACGCCGTTCGTGCGAAGGCTGTAATCGGGGAAGGAGTTTTACAGGTCCCGCCGATCAGTGACGTTACGCACATCCCTCACTGAAAAGCATCCATCGTGTGAATACTTCTTAAGACTAGGCATACTTTAATGATTGAGAAAGAAAGCAAATTTTTCTCGACACGCTTCACAATTAATTTTATGGAATTCGAACAGCGTACCATGCAATTAAAGCCCTAAAACAATTCTTTTACCTGCTCTATTCTGAGCTCCAGTTCAAAGTGCATGGCTTCATTACCATTTCTGAATAGTAACATATCGGGTCGGACGCTCAGTATACCTGGTAAAGTTTGTTATGCTGTAGATCATCGGTCGTTCGGTCGGCGGTACGGCGGTGGCTATATTATGGGTTCCCATTTTCATATAGAGCGTCGATGTGGGTGAGTGTCTGAGGCAGAACGGAGTAGAGGATGCCGTGGGATTTGCAGAGGTGAGACATGTTCTTTCATTGGGTTTCGGCACGAATAATATAGAATGCTGTTAGGGAGAGAAACCCGATTTAGCTGCTCAATAACGAACTTCCGCTTAGCTGTAGGTGAGCGTCTATTTGATACCGGTCATCCCTCCCAGGATTTATGCGTTGCGGAGAAAGGAGAAAGACTCGAGACGGTACACGCTCCGCACCAACGTTCATCGAATACTTTCTTTGGTGGCTTGAACGCCCTCTCGCGTTTCTGGTCCCTCGTAAGTCTTGCTTTACTTCTAAATTGAGAGCTTTATATCTAAATCAATCACTATACCGCACATAATACAGGGTGTTGAATGTCATTTTCCGCGAGCATTAACTAAAAGACAAAGGCATTGCGGGTGCCATGGCTCAAATGAGAAGAAGCAGCATACTGCATATGCAATAGTGCACAACCCGCTCCCTCTCCCCTCCCCCCCCCCCTTCCCCGCCCCCTCCCCCAACCTGGCTGTTTTTTCCCCAAAAGGCGGGTAAGCTCATTAGAATGCCTTTCGAAGGGGATGCATATGTCATTCAACAATTTTTTTTTCAATTATCAAAAGAGCGAATCGACAACAAATGTTGTTGTTTCATTTAAAGTTCTCACGCTATTCAAGAAAAAAAAAATACGCGAAGGAGTTTACTAGTATCGTCTGCAGCTGAATCCTTCATAAAAAGTGCTAAAAAGTAAGAAAAAAGTACAACCATATATATTGTTGCAAGTAGTCACAGCGTACAACCCTCAAGTATCGGGGGTGAAATTGGGATTTGCAAAACGAGCGTTTAAATATTTTTAAAATTCAATGTACTTTATAAAAGCAAAACAATTGAAGGGACATTTTGTATGCTGCTCTCGGGTTCTTTGTAACATGTTTAAATGCATTTCACCGTTGTTTGTTCGCTCTAGATGAGAGAGACTCACGAGATTGTATAAAATGACTACGGAGTATTGTTCACCTCTTGTAGAAAAAAAAAAGTTATTCCCCAAAAAGTGACTCTGATACGTTGCACTGTCACAGCATTTCTTTTCTTTTCTGCAATCTTACCAATTATAATCACTTCCAGTTGCATCCTAATGAACAGCCTTATAAAAACAAATTCACAGAGATGTATGAAATGCGCCGGAGTTCTACTGTGTGAAGTAACAAAGAATTTCCTAATTCTACTTAGAAATTGACATTATCGACTACACCGGATATGATGACAACGAGGAGGATGAAGAGGGTGAAAACGGAGAAGATGGGAGTTCACAAAATGAAGAAACAGAGGAGCCGACTTCGGAAGTGTGGATATCTGTGCAAACTGTGTCGGCATGGACACTGAGGGAAAGAAAGATTACCTTGATTAACAGTACTACTTGCCAAAAGCAACTTAACAGAAGTGTACCATACCATACCATGTGCTCCACTGGAGGAACATGTGCCGTAAGTAGAAATCACTATTTTATGTGTCCATCATCAAAATAAACAAACATCTGTTAGTAAAAAAAAAGGTGGTTAGCAAGGGGTTATATTGAACATGGTAGCAAACACTGAGTCGGTGGGGATGACGACATTGTGACGAGGCAATATAAGAGTTCGAAGTAATAAACCTGTAGTTGGGTTTGGGACATTGCCTGTCCTTCTTCTTTTGTCTTTCTCTTAGTTTTTGTTTTATCTCACCCCAGTCACCCGAGGTACGGGGTTTACCATGTCCGGCAAAGTTCTTAGTATTCATTAAGGAACCATAATAGTTCTAATGATAAGACCACCTTAGTGAAAAAAGTCACTTGTATAAGAAATTTCTTGTTTCCAATAAACACATGAATCATGCAAGATATATAAGGACATATAAGAACTATATAAGAACTATATAAGACATATAAGAACCATGTAAGAAACTTATGAGAAATGTCTCAGACGTTTTTTTATCTGGCGCTTGTATGTTCTTATATCTCTTATATAGTTTTTATATATTTCTTATATGTTCTTATATATCTTGTATGATTCATATGTGTTTATTGGGCACAGAAATTTCTCATGCAAATGAGAATTTTCAATAGGGCACTAATTTATATAAAAAAATTGTAATAAGGTTTAACTAGATTTCACTATATCCAAGAAAGATAAACATCCAGTTCACTTTATATGCTTAGACCCTTTAATTTACACATTTATTCACAATCAAGAACTAAATTCTAATAAGGTTTAACTAGTAATCACTATATAAAAAAAGTAAAACAACCATTTAAGCATATATTCTTAGAACCTTTCATTTATTCTCGCTTTCGTTCAGTACTTCAGGAATCGGTAGGGACGGCAACAAAATAAATAAATAAATAAATACATCAACATGAAAAAAGTCACACAGAAGAGAAGGACGGCAAAACAAGAACACACACTTGAAACGGGAACACCTTCCGATGGTATGGCAGGAGCCAGATGATGTTTCCGCCCATACAGAAAATTTCGCCATTAAAGATGGCGACCAGTCATGGGAGAATAGTCTAAACGAAACTTATGCTGACTAACAACTGACTGGTTTTATTTTTAAATAACCAAGAAAAACATATTTTTTGTGGTTGTTGAAAAATAAGACCACTCACTTGATGTCAGCCTTCCTGTTCCCCAGCGTCTCTAGTCTTCCCTGCATAGTCGCGCTGTATTCACGTGTCGTGAAGCGGTCAAGGGTCAAACTCGACAAAACTGAACGTTTTTTGTTTGTTTTTTTGTTTTAATTTTGACTAAAAGTTTGATAATTTTGTAGGCGGGGGAGAAATTAAAAAAAAAAAAAAAGGAAGGCTGGAGTGAGTTGTCGAAGGTTGCCATTTTACGGTGCCCTGTTAGCGGGCATCCAATGGCCTGTTTCTTAAAGGGATACTGAGATGAAAAAGGTAATATACCTCTTCGGCTCAAATGTGAGTTAAACGGTATAATAAGTTATGCTAATGACAATTGCTCGTTTGCATTTTGAAGGGATGGCTATATGTGTCGTTCCAAACAGCCGATTCCTGCGAGCACTCAAAGAGACGTAAAAAAAAAAATGGCTTGCTCTTTATGTTTATACAGCCTTGATGGAGATGCGCCTCAACGGGTAATCGTCTCTTAGCTGTAGATGAGAAATTTAGCCAGTGCGGTCAACCGCTAACCTGGGATTTTTAACGTGCATCACGCAGTAGTGATCACACGAACGCGTGCCGGTACGAAACTCATCCAGATCGAAACGGGCGGGGGCGGCGGGGATCGAACCCAGGAGGTTCCCAGCGCAAGCTTTCGCTCCACGCTCCGAGCTGAGACGCGTTAGCCCACTCGGCCACTTCCTCCCCTAGAGAAGTCATAGGCGAGCGCGATGTGTTTAAGTAGATACGGCGCCTCCAGCTCATTCGTGACGTCATATTTACCTTCAAGGCCAAGGCTACAGGGAGGCTGACGTGGTTGTGAGCTTCCTTATGTGGTGGCGGCAACACGTTACAGCCTGGCCTTTTGGAATGCCCGCTCCCCGCAAAAGGTAAATAGGCGCGGGAAAGAAGGGAAATCATCTTCTGCCAAGTTCGATTGGGCTCGCGCGAACGCAGTTTGCCGACGTACTTCCTTCGGAGATGCTCTGCTTTTATAGGCTGGCTAACGTAAAGGCATTCGGTTTATTCGTTATAAATAATGTGTTGGTATCTTTTCGATGAAAAATTTGTCGTCTCTGTGCCATGGCGAGAACATGGTTGACATTTGGACAGTAAAATAGGTTCTTCTCAAAAAAACAAATTAGTCGTTTTATGCTGGATATAGGCAAGAAATAAAATGTAAAAAAAAAATGGCCGATGGCGTATATCGGTCATGTTTCACGCGCTTAAGCACGAGGCATTTAACGTGTTCATGGGAATTGTGGTACTAAGCCAGAAGCGTGTCATTTGTAGTACGACAAAAATATCTCTAGGTTTGTCATATGTTTTAGTTAAAAGAAAAAAAGCTAGAGTCGGGACGAATGAAATTTGATGAATGATCAAGATATGCCATAAAAATAGTTCGAGTATGTCGAAATCTGGTTATTTTGGCAGCATCTTCTCTGCAAAATATAATGTTCGGGTTTAGGTTTTACGACTAAAACGAAGTAAACATAAAACTACGTCCATGGCGTCGGTGACTGCCTTCGTCGGACCAGACGGCACCAAAGGCCTTGTCAGTGCAATGGGCGTGGCGCGACAATACAGGTCAAACGTTCTGGATTTTTATTCGAGCTGAACGAACACCACTAGCAGCTCAGTAAATGAATTTAAATTAAGAAAAATATATTCATCGTAGTCTATTTACTTGTTGAGTAAAACGGAGTATTTTGATTAGGTACGTTTTTGGGGGGATTTCGGGTTATACTACCGTTGGTGCGAGTTAGTTGAGCGTATTGCACATGGTGCGATTCTTCATACAATGTTTGTTTTCGTGCGATGAAAATCCTATGGCCACGAAACACACCAATAAACCAGCACGCCGAGCCAATACACCAAAGCGCGGTTTACAAACAAGTCCACGTTTGCTGACACTGCAGGCGTGGAAACTGTGCATGCGCAGAAAGCAGCTTCGCGTGAGGAGAAGCTTCTGCGCATGCGCCGTGCCCACAGCAGTGCCAGCTCGACGGCGCGACGTCGGAGCCGCTGCGCTGGCATTTCGAGCGCAACCCTCGCTAAGTTGGTCAAATGCATCGTCGTTTGCCCTCGACCGTAGCAAGTTTGTTCATCTCAATTTTGACTGTAAGCTACAACAGAAAATTGTTTTAAGTTAAAATCCACCACTAAAATATATATCGCGCTGAGAAATGGATTGGTTAACCTTTCGTTCGGTCCATTCATATTTTGTTTGCCGTAAAATTTTAAACGGCATACGCAGTTTCGTTTTGAGCTTGGAAAACTTCAAAGGAAAGTAAAAATAGTGCACGCAGTAACGCGTTACAAGTAACTGCGTTACCGACAACGCGCTTTTTTTCAGTATCGTAGTAGCGTACTCGTTGCCTTTCTAAAACAGTCAAGGTTAACGTACTTATGTTACTTATTTTGAGTAGCGTGTATTGTAGTTAGGTTACTCGTTACGGCAGTTTCCCCGAGGCTTAGAAAAAAAACTTCAATTCTTTTCGTGTTTCTGGCCCCAAGTCATATGAATTCCTGCGCTTATCTCACATGCCTTCAAAATATTGCCTCTCTTTTCCCAACGCAAACAAGCACTCCCAATTAAAAAAACAAACAAAAACGATCTAAGGCTTACGCCCTTTGTCCCAGTGTCGAAAACGCTGTGTTCTATAAATTAAAAGTGGCGAAAATGTAGCGTGCGAATTTCATTGGATCGTTAACGGTAACAGTAACAAGTTATTTTTATTTTTACGTAACCTTGGATTGTAACGCGTTCATTTTATTTTGAGGTAACGTGAATCGCTATCCAGTTTAATTTATTTGCAAATAACCAGTAACGTATTTTTTACCTTTACGGACTGTGCCTAAACCACTGAGTAAATATGCCTGCTTTACTTCATGCGGTGCATTTTCTAATCTTTCACGCTGCTATGAGTTCATCTTTTTTAAAACATTTGATATAATTTTTTTATGGTAACCCAGAGTGGGAATAGAAGGTTAAAAAAATATGTAAAACATGTCATCTTTAAAAATGTTCATAGGTAAACAACAACGCAAGGAGACACGCAGTTTTTTGTTGTAACTTGTTCTGTTTTATGTGCGCAGCGTGCTTTTACACATGGGGCTTTACATTTCAGCATTGATGAAAATTGAGTTGTTTTGACGCTTCTTAGATTTTATGCCTGAAAGCAAACGCAACCGAGTAATTACATAATTATTCGATTTACCCCATTAAACATTTTTATCGATGCGCAGTAGCCTTGGTACAAAATCTGAGATTTCAACCGGTAGGCGCCCCTTTTCTGAGCTGATCGTAAGCGACCCAAAAGTCAAAAGTGGGCGTTTTTGCGTGCCAAACCAACGGCGGGCATCTGGAAAGCCCCAGCGGAGGACTGAGGATTAATTTAGACCACCTGGGGATCTTTTGACGTGCAACCGAACGTTCGGTTACACGGCGCCTCCTCCGCAATAAGCCGCCGTCAGATTATGGGCACCTCGGCCGGGATTTGAAGTCGCCACATGGGGATCCGTAGGCCGACGCTCTCGCCTCGGAGCCACCGAGGCGGCTTTGTAAGCGACCCTGGCGAATTGATGCTTACATTGAGCTCTCTAAAATAAAGAGGGGACACCCTGAATTTGAGGGCGATTTAAAGAATCTATTCTATTTTTGGTAGTGTCCCGGCAAGCTAACGCAAGAATACAGGACTTGAATATTTCTCATTTAATAGAAAACAACTGAAGCGGCTCGGACAGTGCCATTTAACAAAAACACGCACACATGCTGTGGGCGATTGTTTCTAAAAACAATGAATAGTATGCCAGCGATATATTATGTAATTTTGAAACCCTTAATTAAGAAAAAACAAAACAAAAAAGACGCACCCGTTTGAGCCATATAACATAATAGTTCATGATACAAACATACGACATATTAAATGCATTTTACTGAATAAAAGAGGCACAGGTATATTTGATATTTTGCCATGCGTCTACCATAGTTAGTTTGTTAGATGCCAATAAGCATTTTTTTTCATTCACCTTTTCTTACACTTTTGAAATAAGCAATATTTTATTTAAATAAATGGGGCGAACAGCGCCGAGACTATTTTGCGTGTTTTATGCGTTTAATACGTGTATAAGATAGCATAATATTAAAAAGACCTTTGATTAAACTTCTTAATGTTTCGCTTATTATTGATATGGGATTCTTAATTTTATATGGCACTGTGAGTGTCGCATTGGTGTATATTGAACTAAATGTTGGCAATAAAGAGGTTTTGCGATATTTTGTTGTCTTATTCTGCGCCTTTACACATGATTTTGGTCCTTGGATGAAATTGACTGAACTTTGCTGTCGCGGCAGAGGGAAAATATTTTAAGAACTTGGTTCGCTTCCTCATCATCTTATTTTTAACAGCATCTATGTCTCGCTCTGGTGCTTCACCCAAAAACAAACAAAAACGTGTACTCAAACTACTTTTTACAAAAAAACATAATTTTTCAATTTGTTTTGACAAATGGCTGATCGGAACTTTGAAAAGTAAACTTATCTCGAGTGCCTGATTCTTTTCTAGCGTTTTAAAAAAGGCTCTTAGTTGCAGATCAACATTTCTGACTACAGTAATATTTAATAAAAAAATAAAAAAATTGAGATCCGACAAAGAATATATGGATACTATAAATAACTCGATGTTTTATTCTAGCACAAAACCTTATTTAAAAAAAATAATTTTTGTTTTTACTTTTTGGTTAGTTTCTCTTTAGAAAAAACAAGTATAACTTGTTTTTTTTTATCTGGTTCTAGAGACTGACAGATATTTTTAGTTAGTTGCTCTTTGCTCAATATGTAGAACGTGGTAATGCTACTTACTTACCTTTGCTGATATCAGAATCCATTAAACGACGCTATGTTTTTTTTTGTTTTTGTATTTCGTTTATTGATTTTCACCTAAAGTGACGCACAACTCGCACCCTCTAGGCGACGGGTGCCCGCTGAAAAAATCTGCCCGGTCCGGGGTCCCGGACCAGGCGGATCTGTTTCATGGCCACTACAGTCGCAGGACGCAAGTAGCGCTCTTAAAGTCAGTTTACCATTTCGTACATCTTCCCCACATTTGGAAGTTCCCCTAAATCATTTTATCTTTTTTTTTTTTTTTCAGGGAGACAGCGGAGGGCCACTAATGTACGAAATTAATGGTACGTGGTTCCTCGCAGGTATTCATTCCACAGGAAGTCCTAATTGCTACGAGCCCCAGATGCCAGGAAGACATATCAAAGTGTCATACTACATTGCAAGATTGATTTTGGCTTTCATGGAGCGCAGCAATCACGATAATGGGAGAACAGATGATGTATGCGCCACGGAGGATTCTCGTATGCGATGCGTAACAGAATTTTATGCCTCTTACAACGTATCACTAGAATACAAGTCAGACATGGAATAAAATTAAATATATATATATATATTTGTTGAACCACTTATTTTACTGGCATATACAACACATTTGAGATTATTTAGTAGTACATATAAAGGGTTACTTGAGAATTTTTGGGGGTGAAATTAATGATGGCATAAAATTGGCTTGTGTGTGTGTTTATACAGCCTAGGACTTGGTCTGCCTCACAGGGGCGACGCGTCTCCCAGCTGTAGATGAGAAATTTAGCCAGTGCGGTACAGCCGCTAGCCTGGGGTCTTTAACGTGCATCACGCAGTAGTGATACACGACCGCACGCCGGTACGATGCTCATCCAGATCGAAACGGGCAGGGGTGGGGATTGAACCCAGGATCCCTGGGTTCTGCAGCGGGAGCTTTCGCTCCACGTGCTCCGAGCTGGTGTGCGCTAGACCACTCGGCCACCGATCCCCCATATGATGGCATAAAGCGGCAACATAATAAATGACAGAATGGCCGCGTACACGAGTTTTGTAATCCTGTCCTGCTTCCACATTCTATACGGAGCGAAAGTTCGTCTGATTTTGTGCAGGGGTTGTGGTGACACCAGAACGCCGGGCTCTGGTTGACCCTGATTAGTAAAATAGCCTACCCTCTATCCTTCAATCAGAGTCAATCAGAGCTCGGAGTTCTGACGTCACCACAAGCCCTGCAAAGGAAGCAGACGAACTTGCGCTCCGCATAGTCACTGACAGTTAAAGAAAGGCAGAGCGTAACGAGTCATCCTATTATCGCTCCGCAACCAATGGGGTTGCGGTATTAGCCGCAAGAAGTTCGAAGAACCAATCGCGAAGCAAGAAGCCTCGAAGTTTTGCCATACGCTGTGTTTGTTAAGCTTCCGGGGATAGTGCGAATACCCAAGCGGCTACTTTATCGTTGAGCAATGATTCATCCAATCACTGAGGTCTGTTGGATATGGTGCTTCTCGGGAAATGGCGAGGCTGAAATATTGAATTGGACGATAAATTGCAGTGTGCATGACTTTATGCTTTCTCACGTTTTGCGCAGCATTATATAACGGTCCAGCATTTCTAGATTCCCACGCTTACCTCCAGTGTAAACTTCAGATTTTCTTCTTAAACGGCATTGATTGTATGACAAGATTAGTGCCGGAAACTACACTCTAAGAAATGCCTGCGCGTCTACATTCCCGCAAAACACTCAAAGAGCCAATCACTGCGATCTACGAAATCAGCTCAGCGAATAATGAGGCGCAACATCAGTTTAGACCTAAAAATGAAGTCTGCGTTGTGGCGTTACGCGATGCAAGCACGACGCTTTGCATTGCGTAATGCCACAGCGCAGACTTCATTTTTAGGCCTAACGAATGTTCCGTCTCATCATTCGCTGAGCTGATTTCGTAGATCGCAGTGATTGGCTCTTTGAGTGTTTTGAGGGTAAGCAGACGCCCAAGTATTTCTTTGAGTTTAGGCGAACGGGCTGTTTAGAATGTGTGCTCGTTAGTGTTTCGTTTCTGCGCTGAGAATACTGAGCGCAACCTCGTCTGCTTTTAGTACTGGGGTTGCGATGATGTTGGAACGCCGAGCTCTTATTGGCTGGTTGAAAAAAAAAGTAGGTAGGCCTTGGGACATTTAGCATTGAGGTCTACCCACTACTGTAAAACCCTTTATTTTCGGGGCCGCTATTTTTCGCGAATCGGTCACAGATGACATAATCGCGACCACTAAATTTCGCGAATTCCAGACGCCTGCATTGAAAATCTTAAGGACCGAAATTTTCGCGCGCCCTTATAATTTCGCGAATTCTTCAATTCGTGAATTTCGCGAAAATTGAGGGCTCGCGAACATTAAGGGCTTTACAGTATCTTTCTAATCACAGCCAACTATAACTCTGCGTCGTTCTGACGTCACCGGAAGCCACCGCAAGAAGCAGACGACTTGGTCTACGCACAGGGTTGACGCGGAAACTTATTCGTTCCGCGCAAACACAAAAAAAGCTTGTTGGTGCAATAGATTTTGACATGCAGTGGCTTTCTCACAATGCACTTGGCAGCGTGTACAAGGTGCTAGAAAATTAACTATTACAAATTTTTGCGCGTACGTTAGGCTCCCAGTTTGGCATTAAGGCAAGAATAATCGCAGCCTACAATCTAGTAATTCACAAAATTATGATTAAACTTGTTTTAAATTACTGTAGTTAAGTTATGTGCGTATATTGAAAACATCAAGGCAGCCATATTCCGAGCTTCTTGCATTTTACAGAAGTTTCTAACTCATTGTTCAGAGATATCCGTCTTCAAATATGCTACTGAATTCTGTTAATTACTCACACAAAAACGTGAATAGCAATTCGAAAGCTCCTCTAAGGTTTGAATTCAAGGAAAATTAATAAAGGTTTTTGAACGGTGTATATACGATTAAAAATACAAATGTATTACTCGTATACAGAGAGTTAACGTAAATATACGCAAAGACCTGGTCAGGTTGTTGCCTATATTTCTTTTTTACCAACCTAGATATAAAAAAAAACTGTTGTCAGCCCTGCCTCGAACCTCATGTAAAATGTCAAGCGCAACTACCTTCATTATAATGGAGAGGATTTTGGCGGTTTTGTAATACACAATAAACAATAGGCAGCTAAAATATGCATTCGTCACTTTTAATGCTTAATTCTACTGAAGGCGGAATTACGTTAAAGTGTAGAGCGTCACTCGGCACACTTTGTAAATATTGCATACAAAAAGATGATATGAGATGATGACAATGAGACATTCAATGCTTTCTTCGCATTATAGTTTGTTGATTTTTCTTTTGTTTTCTCGCTTTTGTCAAGATACCTTTATAAAAAAATCTCGCGCATTTCTGCTTTACGTACGTTGGCCCAAGCTTTGAACAATATCAAGCGAGCGTCGACCGCCGGGCCGGCCAGCGCCGTGCCGCGGAGGGGTGCGGCGATAGGGGAGAGGTTAGGCGCGTGCGCACAAAGCTCTTTCTGGGGTTGTGTGCGGTCAACTGAATAGTCTAGCAGACGGCGCTCGCACCGGAAAGAGCTTTGTGCGTACGCGCCTAATCTCTCCCGTATCGCCGCACGTCTCCGCGGCACAAAGCTGGCCGGCCCGACGGTCGACGCTCGCTTGATAATATTAAAAACTTGGACCTCTGTACATGCTAGGGGGCTGGGGATCGGTTCCTTCGACAGATATTCTTCCTGAACCCGTTGAGTTCTTTGGACAGATATTCTTCCTGAACCCGCACCATATGTACTATATATGCTTTAATGTTGTAAAAGATGGGCTACAGAAGGATTCGAGAGAATAGCTGGTTGAAATCTTCACCGACATTCGCATCGGAAGACAGCCTGTACTAGAGACTGGAGACGAGGAATGGTTGTGCGTGTGCCGAAGAAAGGAGAAGATCGGCGTTACCACTGGAACTAGAGGCCCCTTACAGTCACCAGCATTGTGTACGGGGTTTTCGCATGCATCCCGAAAGAGCGCATGACAACGTGGGTGTAGAAAGAGGGTGTTTTCCCCGAGCTACAAGGAGGGTTTCGTCGTGGTCGGCGATTGGAAGACAACGTCTACACCCTAGCACAGTGCATTGAAGTGGCTCGAAAAGAGGAGACAAGACTGACATGCGCCTTCTTAGACGTCGCTAAGGCTTATGACAGTGTTCCACACGACAAGCTTTTATCATGGCTGCAGCAGCTCTATATACCGACACGTGGACCGACCGAGCTTATTAATCCCTTATACACAGGCAACGCGGTGACAACTGAGGTGGGAGAGGTCAAAGCAGAAGAGATTGTAGTGACACGTGGATTGCGTCAGGGGTGTCCACTCTCGCCGCTTTTCTACATGTTGTTTGTCGCGCGACAAGAGAAGCGTTTGATAGAAGCAGATTGGGTTTCTCGCTACTGCACCTGGAAAATGGAGACGCCGTGAACTGGACTCTACTGGGTCTAACCTTCGCGGACAACATTGTGCTGACTGTGGGCTGTGAAACGGAAATGCAACAACTTCTTGACATATGGGCTGATAAGGCTGCCGTGCTTGGTCTCAAATACAAATATTCAAGTCCACCGTGATTCAGTTCGCGGGCACTGAGAAAGAAAATCTCGATTGCCTCAGACTGGGTATTGACTTATTACCGGTACTGAACAAGTATAAGTACATATGTGTTGTGTTGCCCAACAAGGCAGACTCTCTGAAAGACTACTGCGCACACCTCCGTCAATCCACCACACGGGGAGCTAATCCTCCTTAAGTGCAGCCTATGGAGCTGTAATAGATTCATAGTGAGCCGCGAAATGTGGTAGGCGGTGTTTGTGCCAGTCTTGACATTCGCCAATTCAGTGTTGTGTGTGCCAGGTGACATGAAAACCTCCTTGGAGCGCAAACAACAAGAACTGGGACGCCAAGCGCTGGGCTGCCATGGCACGGTGGCGAATGACGGAGTGCAAGGGGACCTGGGCTGGCCGTTTTTCGAAACGATGTAGGCTACAAGCAAGGTTACCTACGACGGGCGGCTTCGACTCATGAACCGGTGCCGCTGGGCTAAGAGGCTCTTCATATGCGCACATATGACTTCTCTGCAGAGTTGGCGAAAACGCCTTCACCAGATGGAGAAAAAATTCGGCTTCTACACAAAACCGGTTTAGGCGACCACAAAAAAAAAGGGAGTTTGTGGTGCGCAAGTGAGTTCGTGAACAGGAGAATGTGCAATGGTGGAACGCTGCCCGGACAAAGAAAACACTCACAATGTATCCGGAAATAAAAGAGCAAATCACGGCAGGGACGCGGCTGTACGACAACAGCTTGGGCAGCCGCCTATTGTTCGAGGCTCGTGCGGGTGCTCTGCCCACACTGGTGTACAAACAGCGCTTCGACAATAATGTGCAGTTGACTGCGTGCCGAGTATGCGAGGTTGAGAGCCAGACAGCGGAGCACATCATACTCTATTGTGGCGGAATCCGACCATCTGCCACATCTCCCACCGAAGAGGCGAACCAACTGCACGGAGGTGTCCCGC